ATCACGAGTTTACGCACGCGGAAAATGGAGGAAAGAAGAAGACGGAGCATGAACTAATTGGCAAGCTCCCCCAACTTCGGTGCTTGAAGAAAGGATTCGCGCCTTGATCACGTAGGTCTCCTTGCTCCAGATGAAAATAAAAGTTCGTCAGAGTTCCCGGACGCACACGTGAAGTTTTGTGTCATACTTTCGCCTATTTTTTTCCCCCTCATAAAAAGACTTATGAACACGTACCTGTGCGCACGCATGATCTTTTGCACATGGATCGATAAACAGGAAACGTGCGTAATGCCTGCTCTAGAAGCACTTCTTTCTCAGTAGGATATTTGGAGACTTGAACGCGGGGTAGTAAAGTTGGCCTTGTATAAAATAATTAAATGGCTGGAGTGCGAAATCGGGTATCTCCGTTGGCGACGCCAAGACTTCCTGCCATCCTTTTTTTCCTTTGAAAAATAGTCAACGAAATTTTTTGAAAACTTCTCTAATTTTGCACACGTACATGTGCGCACGCATGATCTTTTGCACATGCATCGATAAACAGGAAACGTGCGTACTGCCTGCTTTAGAAGCACTTCTTTCTCAGTAGGATATCTGGAGACTTGAACGCGGGGTAGAAAAGTTGGCCTTGTATAAAATAATTAAATGGCAAAAGTGCAAAATCGCGTATCTCCGTTGGCGACGTTGTAGGCTTCCTACCATCCTTTTTTTTTCTTTGAAAAAAGTAGTCAACAAAACTTCACTAATTTTTCCTCTCTATCGGCGGAACATTCCATTAAAATTCCAAGGTATGAAGTTGGCTCGTTTCCCTTCGAAGGAAGGAAATAGGAGTGGAAATTCAAAGATACCACATTGAAGATACCTGGTTTCGCACTTTAACCATCGAACTATATTATACCATAATTAAATATACAAAATAATTATTTAAGTTTACGCAGGGAAAAAGAGACAGGGGTTGTTGGATGATATAGGCATTTCCAGCTAAGTTTGGTATTACTCCTAATTAATTGTGGTGGTGCCCCAATAAATAAGATCACTAACCAAAATCATGCGGTGATACCCCAACTTGAATTGGTCGTATTTATACGAAAGGGAACTAAGCGCCAAATTTCCAAATTTCAGTTTTTAACGGATCTGGATTCTCCATGTAAGAGGCTGCTCTCACACGTAAATATGTCCCCAAAATACTAATTTCATCCCCTAGAATCAGCCCCTGAAAAATCGCAAAACAGGGAATCAGCGATTACGAATAAAATCAAAAGGAACTATATGTAATTCCCTTTGATTTAATGCGCTAACCCGGATTCCGAATTAAATCAAAAGGCGCTATCTCCACTTGATTGACGCGCGCGCGGCGAAGCTTGGTGGAAACTTGGTGCAATTTGGTACCAGGGGGTATTTTTGGACGGGAAACTCGAATTTTGGGTCAAATTTTGAAAATTCAGAAATCCAAAATGGCGGACATGGCCTAAAATGCTATCTCGGCCCCTATCCAGCCGATCTTGGTGAAACTTGGTATCAGGGGGTATTTTCGGACGGGAAACTCGAATTTCGGGTCAAATTTTGAAAATTCAGAAATCCAAGATGGCGGACATGGCCTAAAATGCTATCTCGGCCCCTGTCCAGCTGATCTTGGTGAAACTTGGTATCAGGGGGTATTTTCGGACGGGAAACTTGAATTTCGGGTCAAATTTTAAAATTTCATAAATTCAAGATGGCGGATGGGGCCTAAAATGTTATCTCCTATTTAAACGCGCATCGCCAAAAAATCCCAGTTGTCGTCCCCTGAGTGACGGTCACATATCGACCGTGCGTTCCCTCTGGCTCGATCGATGTCAGTGTGCACTGACATGGACAAGGGGCTTTTAACGAGCGAACAAATTAACGAACCCATCGGAATCACTTAATTTTCATTAAAATCACTGTTAGGTACTTTATTGGAATCGGAACAGTATTTAAAAATTCATGAGTATTAAGAGCGCGCTGGAAGGATTACGTGGTCAAAAGCGTGACCGTCACCTAGGGGTTCGTCAGGCCCCATCTTGACTTCCTCGGAGACGCGAGTTTAAATGGGAGCTCAGAATACGCAACTTCGAACTTGTTTTCCGTGGGTTAATAATGTTTCAAAAAATCGGAGAAAATTCCAGCGAACTGTGCGTACTCAATCCTCCAAAAAAATGCAAAAATTAAAAATTACTGAATAACCTCATTGTTAAAATTTTAAACTCCAATATGGCGGATGTGGCCTTCAACAATAGCTCAATGCCTGAATCGTTTGTGTGAAGTTCGGTATTAGGGGCTCAAAATGACAACAGAAACTGTTTTATTTAGATACGAAAATTTTAACATAGGTAATCAGCACATGAAGGGAATTCACGATCCGACGCTGCTAGGTAAACCACGCATACCTCGACGAGGCGGTGTATTGTGAACGTACACGGAGAAAAAAACTTCGTGCGTGGGACCCGAAGTTTAGGTCATATGGATCTGTGAAGTTTTCGGATTGAGCATCTGAACACTTTCGGTCCAGCTGCTGAGGTTTTGATCACACATCTGAAACTTCAGTTCTTACATCTAAAGTACTTAGGTTTTCACATCCGAAAATTTCGGTTCTCACATTCGAAAAACTTCGGTTCTCACACCTGAAGACTTCAGACGTAAGAACTGAAGTTTCAGATGTGTGATCCGAACCTCGACAGCTAGACCTAAAGTGTTCAGATGCTCAATCCGAAATCTTCAGAGATCCATATGACCCAAACTTCGGGTCCCACGCACGAGTTTTTTTCTCCGTGTAGAGTGCCATATATTTAAAGTTTACAAACGTGGAAATTTCCACATCTCATCCACATTAGCAAGATGCAGCGGGAAAGCAGATTGAGGTTAGGTAGGTATATTTGGGCTCCCACCACCTCCGGCCTTCACAACCCGGCCCGTGCGCTGAACGCAGGTTCATTGGCGGCCATTCTAGACGTGTAGTGCGTTTGTTTAAGAAATAGATATCATTTTAAGCCACATCCGCCATCTTGGATTTCTGAATTTTCAAAATTTGACCCGAAATTCGAATTTCCCGTCCGAAAATACCCCCTGATACCAAGTTTCACTAAGATCGGCTGGATAGGGGCCGAGATAGCATTTTAGGCCATGTCCGCCATCTTGGATTTCTGAATTTTCAAAATTTGACCCGAAATTCGAGTTTCCCGTCCGAAAATACCCCGTGATACCAAGTTTCACCAAGATCGGCTGGATAGGGGCCGAGATAGCATTTTAGGCCATGTCCGCCATCTTGGATTTCTGGATTTTCAAAATTTGACCCGAAATTCGAGTTTCCCGTCCGAAAATACCCCGTGATACCAAGTTTCACCAAGATCGGCTGGATAGGGGCCGAGATATCATTTTAAGCCACATCCGCCATCTTGGATTTCTGAATTTTCAAAATTTGACCCGAAATTCGAATTTCCCGTCCGAAAATACCCCGTGATACCAAGTTTCACCAAGATCGGCTGGATAGGGGCCGAGATAGCATTTTAGGCCATGTCCGACATCTTGGATTTCTGGATTTTCAAAATTTGACCCGAAATTCGAGTTTCCCATGCAAAAATACCCCCTGATACCAAGTTTCACCAAGATCGGCTGGACAGGGGCCGAGATAGCATTTTAGGCCATGTCCGCCATCTTGGATTTCTGAATTTTCAAATTTTGACCCGAAATTCGAATTTCCCGTCCGAAAATACCCCCCGATACCAAGTTTCACCAAGATCGGCTGGATAGGGGCCGAGATAGCAGTTTAGGCCATGTCCGCCATCTTGGATTTCTGAATTTTCAAAATTTGACCCGAAATTCTAGTTTCCCGTCCAAAAATACCCCCCGGTACCAAATTTCACCAAGTTTCCACCAAGCTTCGCCGCGTGCGCGTCAATCAAGTGATTCAAGTGGAGATAGCGCCTTTTGATTTAATTCGGAATCCGGGTTAGCGCATTAAATCAAATGGACCTACGTGCAAAAATCCCCTATATCTCGCTCAATATGCATTTTTTCCTAATTTTGGCAATGTACGTAATTAGAGGAACTCTTCAGCTTTCAAACAAGCTAAAGTAAACCAAAATCGGTCCATTAGTACGGAAACGCCAATTGTTTTAGTCAAACTTGCTTTACTGAGAAGTTTGGAAATGGCGTTTAGCGCCTTTTCGCATAAATACGTCCAATTGTGGCACTGTCATAATTAATTGAAGATTTCCCTATGATCAAACTGATTAGGGTAGTGCCATAAGTTAAAGAGATAACCCCTAACACTTTTTTCCAATGTAAAAACATAATTTCAGCATAGATCGTGCTACTCGATTGCTTTGTTGCCTATTCAGCAAAATTGAAGGCGAGATTTAAATGGTCGATACCAAAAACTATCTGTCCTGTGAAGCGTTTTTCACGTAGGATTGTGAAGAGAGAACATGTGACTGTTTATTTCAGTTCAGACCTAGAGTACTTACCTTTATAGGGAGAGTGTGGACAACTCGCTTTATGTAGCTTTTAGGGCTCAAAAGGGCGACAACATGAAAAACGAAAATCACTAGAAAAGTGCCGCTGCCAACCTAAGCATTAGGAAGATCACTCAATATGGCCGACAGCGCATTACAATCAAGCGTTTTTAAGGATTAAAACTTTGAAAGTGAGAGAATGAAAGCGAAATCAAAGTTTTATACGTGATTTTATGAGATTTGATCCGTGTAAATAGTTGAAATGTGAAAATTAGTACCAATAGATAATTCGGGTGCATAGCTTGGCTCCTCTTTTGGGCCCCAAAAGCTACACGACCTGATCAAACCTAACCTTCATATTTTCGAGCTGTCCATACTCTCCCTATAAAGGTACTCTATTCAAAGCTCGCGTCTGATGGCCCATTTTTGAATTGAAATAGCAGAACAAAGCACCGTATATAATCTTGAAATAATGATGTCATAGCTGATGAAGGATGACTGTCTTTAAACGTTTTTCTCATTATGTTTCAGATATCGTGCAATTAACTGCGGAGCCGGATTTCAAGTCCGTGACGCTGCGATGGGAGTATGCACGGAGCGTCCCCATTTTGTACGGATTTCAAATAAACTATTGCGAAATGCAGGCATGGGGGCCGAATAGGTGTCGTTCGAAGGTGTGTATCAGTGATCCAACTCAATTGCCGTGATTACTTGCCCCTGACGAGCTCCTCCCTGTCCCATTGAATAAACTCATCACGTCCCTGTCACGGGAACGAATCGAGATTGTTTTTAACTCTATCGAANCTAACCTTCATATTTTCGAGTTGTCCATACTCTCCCTATAAAGGTACTCTATTCAAACCTCGCGTCTGATGGCCCATTTTTGAATTGAAATAGCAGAACAAAGCACCGTATATAATCTTGAAATAATGATGTCATAGCTGATGAAGGATGACTGTCTTTAAATGTTTTTTTCATTATGTTTCAGATATCGTGCAATTAACTGCGGAGCCGGATTTCAAGTCCGTGACGCTGCAATGGGAGTATGCACGGAGCGTCCCCATTTTGTACGGATTTCAAATAAACTATTGCGAAATGCAGGCATGGGGGCCGAATAGGTGTCGTTCGAAGGTGTGTATCAGTGATCCAACTCAATTGCCGTGATTACTTGCCCCTGACGAGCTCCTCCCTGTCCCATTGAATAAACTCATCACGTCCCTGTCACGGGAACGAATCGAGATTGTTTTTAACTCTATCGAATTTCTGTCAGATAAAAATAAAGCGCGAAATAAGAAAATAACTTTTGCAAGCGTTCGCTGATGGTTAGCGTCGAGTGCTCCCACTGCGACAACGCGCGGAGACTACAACGGGAAAGCGACGCTCTCTCGATCTGTCAAGAATTTAATTAAAATTTAGTTGTTAAAAATGGTCTAGCTTTACTGTCCTTTCTCCGCAGATGTGGAGGACAACTGACAAGAGATTGATACGACTTTATATCAGTGCAGCGAAATTGTACCGTTCTGGAAATAAGCCAGAACGGTGAAATTTTGCAAGGAATTGTCTTGCTCCGTATTACTAATTTACTGCGAGGGGATATGACTGTGGCGGGTGGCCACTAAGCGGCCCAGCCCCTGGACTTCCTAAAGGCACTTCGCGCCCCCTAAGGCACTCTTTGAGGACTCCCGGGACACACAGAAAAGGCTCATCTAGGGACTAAATACATTTGAAAATCGTCCAGTGGATCTTTAGAACACACTGTGGCAAAAAATAAACACTTCGTTTATTTAAAATGGAAGATTGGGCGTATTTATGATAAATAGAAATATTTTACACGCGAACTCTGTACACATTGTTCTTCTTAGCATAAATACGTCTGATTCACAACTATAGCACATCATAAAAAAAAAAAAACCTTTATCATATTGCCAATATTTATAAAAAGGGTAGACTTATTTAAAGACAATCAACTATCACTAGCCGCAAATATTGTGAAAATCGGCCCAAAGGGAACAACTGAACAAACTGTGACAGAAAATTAAAAAAAAAATTAGGGGGCCAGAGGCCTTATAGAGATGACAGGATATTTTGACGTTACCTTTTTTAAAATGATTATTGCATTTCCGACTGAAAATGATTCAGTTTTGAGTCGACAGGTCTCGATTTTTTTGTTTAAATTGTGTATTTCAGCCTTGTTCCCCGTCCCCCCTCCCTTATTTTTCTACTGTAAAGTACGAAAGGTGTAGGGCAACGTGAAATGCAGTTAGACTGATGCAGGTTGAATCCGTCCAATTCGTCTTTTCATCCGGCCGCTAAATTCATCGGCCAAGAATTGTCTCGAGAACTTTACTTTCCTCGTGTAACGGAGGTTAATGAGGAGGTTTTAAAATTGTTGAAATTGTTAACAGGTCGTAGACAAGACTCGGGATGAGATGCAGGCAGGCGGCAGCAAGCGGGACCACCAACTGCACACGGCCACGGTCAACGGTCTGCGCATGTCTACCAACTACACATTCGAGGTTCGACCTCTCGAGGAGAAGAAACAGACAGACTCCAAGATCCATTCCAAACGCATTGTCGTCCCTACCAAAGGCTGTAAGTTTAAAAAATCATTGTAACTGAACCTCTCCACCTTCCGGCAAAAGCATCACAAGCGCCATACGACGTTTCAAAATGTCCGCCACAATTTCATTTTTTTTACAGAGAAATTTTTAGACGAAGCTGTCCGAAAATTTCACTGAACTCTCTTTGTGCTGCCGATCAAATTCAGTGAAATTTTCAAGCAGATTTAACCATCAATTTCTCTGGGGAAAAAAAAAAGTCGGCAGAAATTTTTAAACCGTGCATGACACATGTGATGCTTCGGCCGGATAGTGACGACTTGTCGATTTTAAGGGGGGTCATGATTCATTCTTGATCATTTTTTTTCTTCTTCTTCACACGTTGAGGTATGCAATTCGGTACCCACATATCGTCATTCTTATGTGTATCCAAAAATTAAATCATGTTTTTCTTGAAACAGCGTTTTTTGACTTTAAGGTACACTTTTCTTAGAATCAACTGAATGGACTTCCGAAAAAAAATATTCTCTGACATGCTTCTATAAGTACAGAGGAGAGGAGAGAGTGTTTGCTCTGATCAATTTTCAAGAAAAAAAATTACGCTGAAAGGCCTTTCACCTGGAATTTTTTAAACTTTTTTTAAAACTCAAGAAAATTTCAATTTTTTATTTTTCAAAAATCCTCTCGTATGAGACCAGAAGATAATCCAAGGAATCAAGCTAAAAAAAAAGGTTTTGGAAAATATTTTGAGTAGAACTTGAAAAAGGTGTTAGCATAAGTGAATTTTACATTGTGAAGATGGGAACGCATGACATCCCTTTAAATCTAACATATCCAAAAAATTAAATTTCACAGGAGTAGAATAAACTTATTTTTGCATGGAATAATGAAATAATACTGTGATTTCTATTTTAAAAAGAACATATCACATTTTCGAAGTTTTAGAGTAAACATCGCGCAGGCGATCCTCTCGAAGAAACTTTAAAAAAATAAAAATAAATAATAATCATTTTCCGATCGTTAGATTTGTTATAAGTTCCTTTGAGTTTATATAGACATTTGTTTTTTCATTATTTAGTGGCAAATTATACTAGTTCAACCTATCGATGCGGTGGCGTAGCTACAAGTTGATAATAAATTTAAAGACATTTGCTTTTACTTATTTATTTATGAGTCGAAATGAGACTGAACCATGTCTCGGTTATTATAAATTAGTAAAAAAGTACGAGTCCCTGAATTCAATATCGTCAACTTGTATGTATAGTTAAACAGCTTTTGTTCTTTACAAAATGTACATCAATTGAGCAAAACTGAATGGTGTAGTTAAATCATTTATTTCAATGCTCACCTAAAGCTCCCTCTTCCCTGACTCAATAACATTTATAGAATTGTCATGACTAACCTTTTAATGGTGGTCCGTGGAGACTTAACACATTTTTTAATGTTCAGTAAATTTAACGTCTTGTTAATTGTTCGTGATGAATCTGACCGTCGCTTCAAAGTGATTTTCAGTCCTCCTTGTCTCGCCTCACAATTTATGGTTTTAACCGTTTAGCACAACTCAATTACAAGCGCGGTTTTCGGCTCGTAAAAGTAAACTTCCAGGCAGTGAAGCTCGCAGAAATTGGTGTCGGTCAACTTTAACCGCGGAACTTTTTACCGTTCGTCTTGCCTACAGTCTCTTCCAATTTTAGCACGTAGTTCAGCGAATGAGACGACTATTTTCCGTCTACTTTTTCTTTCTTTCCTCACCATACTTTCTTCTTCCTATTTTCAACCGTCAATGTATTATCTAGTTACGCTTGTCTTCGTGCAGGATATAATACGGCAAAATTTACCTTCAGCAGGCCGATTCTTGAAAGGTAGGCAATTAAGCTATAGACAAAGGGGACAAAGCAGGGGATATGGAGGGATCCTATTAATGGAGGCGGTTGGTTGCAATGGGCAAAGAAGGTACGTGGACTAACTAACGGCAACCCACGAGAGACTCTATAGTTAGTCCATCATTTGCCCCCATGGTCTATAAGAACTACCCACTTCAACCAATAGGATCGCTCCATACACTCTATGTCTTATTTGTCTGTCGCTTTGTCTATCAATTTCAACTATCAGCTTGCAGGTGAAAACTCAAATCATCTATTACGCCCGAAAAGAGCTTGCTTAGGGTAAAAAATTTGCGATTTCAGCTTTGAATAAAATTTCCGGTCACGCAGCACTTTTTAAGAATTTCAATAGCTTCATTTAGGCTTTATTTAATGTGCATTAGGCATAAGTGTTGCCACGAGCTTTGAACTTAATCGATTCTTAAAGAGGCAAAAGGGTCGATCAATTTTGACAGCGTTTTTTTTCAAATTCGTCATTCGTCGTACTCTACCTCTAAAATGCTGTCAAAAAGCTCATTTTTGCCTGGCTACGTTACAGTTCAATGTGATATACATTAAAAGTATTTGATACTTGGAATCACTGCCGAGTAAGTATTGTGAGAGCATCTAATCTGTTGTGTTAATTATTACATCATGATTTTGTTGTTACTAGGTTGGCTTTTCCGATAACCAAGTTTTAATATGAGTATCCTACGCTCCATAATATGAAAATAGTCTTGAGTTATTTTATCGAACTATGTGCGAAGTAAAATCAGCAATAACATGCATCATAATTTATTTTCCCTGCCTGCATAAATATTCCAAGCAAAAGTATGTATAAAAGGAGCAATAATAAACTTCTCGTGTGAAACAATCGTGCCCGATTCATTCTCAGATATATTTAATTAGTATTTTCGTGATTAAAATGATTTGCAAGTGCGTAATAATATGGAGCAATTAAGTAGCTGCCGATAGTATCCTCACCGCGCATTTTAATGATTGAATACCCACATCATCCTTCCTCTCCCTGCCGAATAAATTCGATGGAATTGGCCACAAAGCATACCAAAACTCGTCAATTTGATGAATTATTATAATCCCAGTCTCAAGTGCACCCAAAACGTAGGTAATTTAAAGTGTCGATTCGCACATCACCCGCAAATTGCGCTATTTTTCAGGAGTGTTATCGTACTTCGGTGTACACCCTTTATAGCTGTTACATTATTAATCGCAGTTTACGGCCTCAGTTTATCGTTTCACTACATTGTGGCGGGGCGCTGGTCCCTCAGTGGGCAATCAACAGAGAAGATGACCGTTTGGGTTCGTTTATAGCCCTGCTTGCCAGTTCGAAGGAGAGGGCACTCCGACAGTACAGTCCCGCCTTCCGAGTAATGTAGCTAAGTTTGTGGTGATTAGTTCCTTGATTTAATTTTGACGGAGCTGGATTAATACGTTGTTTATTATGATGGGAGTCTTTGTTTCGACGATTCTAAAAATTAACTTCATCAAGCAGATGAGCGGTGATTGCAGTAATCAGTATCAGACGCAGTATACTGCCGTGCTAAGGAAGAACGCCGTAGGAACATTCCAGAGTTGCCAAAGTTCATTCGATAAAATGTTTATTTTGGAGTTAAGATATGAATATTTTTCTTTGAAATTTTCAGGAGCTTTAGGTGAAATTGCAAACAAGATTATTTGCAAAATTGGAAGAAAAATGGTCAAAAATTTAGCAGGAAATTCGCGTTTTATCAAAGGAAATTTGGCAACGTCTGAAGGTTCATACGGCGTTCTTCCTTAGCACGGCTGTATACCTGACCAGCTTGGCCTCTTATCGTCGTTCCTATGACGTAAGGGCGTATCTCGATTTTCACGTGATATCTGTTTTACATATAAAGTCATACTTTCTGGGGCTCATACTGAAATTAAGGTGTACCTTTACGTTAAATATCCCTATCCCCATTCTCCCCTTCTTTTTTCATCGAGTTGGAAATGAATACACGGAAGGCAGCAAATTTTTCGTGTGTTTCCTCTTGAAATCCTTCGATGGTTTCGAGACAAGAAGCAATCGAATGACAAGAAGAATGGCTTCTTTTAGACATGGCAACAGTGTTTTCCTATTTTAAATATGTCTCATAGGTAATCGATTCTAGGCGAAGCTCCCTACGTGCTAATCATTGAGATTGATAAACTTAGCGCTGTACAAAGGGGACAAAGGGAAAATGGAGCCATCATATTGGTTGGAACGGGTGGTTCTTATGGACCAAAGGAGAAATTAAGACTGACATAGGGTTTAACTACAACGCTTACATTTGAATGTATGATACTAACAGCAAGTGCAGTCAATTTGCGAGAATCGCTCATGTTTATTATGAGTTAGCAGTTAGCGGGCTGATTGTTGAAATTGGTCGACAAAGCGACAGACAAAGTGGACAAAAAGGATATAGTGGGATCCTATTCCCTAGTTGTATCCCTAGCGGGTGGTTATGATGGACAAAAAATTTAGATGATAGACTAACTAACAGCAACCCATTAAAGGCCTTTTAGCTTGTCCATTATTTTCTCCCTTTCTACAATTAAAGAATCACTCATTTCAATTCACGGAAAAAAGTGTCAGGGGTTATCCCCTAAATTTGTGGTACACTATCACTATTTGTTGAATGATACGGACATTTCTAATTAATTGTGGTAGAACCGCAACTCAAGTTAGGGTAGTACTGGAACATTTGGGTTAGTAGCCTACACTGGAAAAAAATACATTTGATATAGAGTCCAGACTCTTAAAAACATCGACAAGAAAAAATACTCTTGATTCAATCGGATTTTTACATATATCAAAAACCAAGCCTCTTAATTTGAGCGGATTTCCTTTTGATTTCAGCAAAAAACAGATTGAATCAAGAGTATTTTTTCTTGTCAATGTTTTCAAGAGTCTGGACTCTAGATCCAATGTGTTTTTTTCCAGTGTAATTTATTGGGGTACGGCCACGACTAATTCGTGTAGTACCACAATTAATTGGAAATGTCCATAGCACACAACATACTCGTGCTTTTTTTATCCGCGAACCTACAGGATCGCTCCATACTCCTTCCGTCTTCTTTCTCTATCGCTTTGTCTATCAATTTCAACAATCAGCCCGCGGTTGTGCTGGTTATAGACTCATCCAACGTCTTC